GGCCTCCCAAAGTGCTGGGATTACAGGAGTGAGCACCACTCCAGGCCATTTTTTTTTTTTTTCTTTTTGAGACAGGGTCGGGTTCCCTCACCCGGGTGCAACAGTGGCGTGATCTCAGCTCGAGCTTCTGGTCTTAAGTGATCCTCCAGCCTCAGCCTCCTAGTAGCTGGGACTACAGGGGACTGCCACCACACCCAGCTAATTTTTTATTATTTTATTTTATTTTTTGAGACGTTGTCTCGCTCTGTCACCCAGGCTAGAGTGCAGTGGTACAATCTTGGCTCACTGCAACCTTCGCCTTCAGGGTTCAAGCGATTCTCCTGTCTCAGCCTCCTTAGCAGCTGGGATTACAGGCATGCACCAGCATGCCCAGCTAATTTTTTGTATTTTTAGTAGAGACGGGGTTTCCCCATGTTGATAAGACTGGTCTCGAACTCCTGACCTTGTGATCCACCCACCTCGGCCTCCCAAAATGCTGGGATTACAGGCATCAGCCACCATGCCTGGCCTATTTTTTATCTTTTTTATTTTTTATTTTTGAGACAGGGTCTGGCTCTGTCACCCCAGGCTGACAGTGGTGCGATCTCAGCTCACAGCAACCTTGAGCTTTTGGTCTCAAGCGATCCTCCCACCTCAGCCTCCTGGTAGGTGGGACTACAGGTGCCTGCCACTGCACCCAGCTAATTTTTTGTTTTATTTTTAGTAGAGACAAGGTTTCACCATGTTGGCCAGGCTGGTCTCAAACTCCTGGGCTCAAGCGATCCTCCTGCCTTGGCCCCAAAGTGCTAGGGTTACAGGCTTGTGCCACCTCACCCAGCCTCAGATGTCAGCTATTAAGGAATCCTTCCAGCTTCAGTAAGTCTAGGATTTGGCCAGCATTTTTATGCCCAAAGCAGCATCATGAGGCAGGCCCAGTCCTGAGGAGCAGCCTTATTGCCAAAGCTGACCTGCATGCCTGCTGAGCCCCTGATAATGCTGCCCTCACATCAGGTGGTCATTCTTCCACCTGGCAAGATACAGCTGAGCCCAGGGTCCAGGCTGGGCTATACCTATGGGACTCAAAACTGAAGAGCTTTGTCAGAATTCCTGCTTCTACAGAGGAAGCTGGCAGGACCACTCTGATGGGCTTTGTCAGAATTCCTGCTTCTACAGGGGAAGCCGGCAGGACCACTCTGATGCCTTCTGGGTCCCCTGTTTTCTCCCTTCCTTTCCTAGAGGTGTGTCAGATTTCAAGGCTCCAAACCAGGGACTCTAGGCAGGGCAAATAACTCCACTCAGCTCTAGAGGTGACCTGATTTCTCTCACCAGACAGGTCTGGTGACTCTCTCTTAATGGGCAAGTCCTGGGAAAGGAACTTTTTCCTTTTCTCTCAGCCTCTGACTTTTGTCTGTTAGCTCTGGACCACTCGTAGTTGCCCCATATGGGGAGAAGTAAGCTGCCCTAAGGTAGTGTGTCGGTGTTGAAGTATTTTAAACCAGATGCTGTGCATTGGAATATCTC